AGTCCCATTATATACAGTGGCATAGTAAAATGGTCCCTTATATAAAGTGGCAAAATCAAGGTTTGCTTTTTGGAATTCTTGTATTTTAAAATATTTTCAAGCCATGAATGCTTGAATCTGTGGATAAAAATCTGTGGATAAGGATGGATCCTTCTAAAGTTTTTAGGAGCAGCAGCAACAGACAAGAGTTGACCCAGAGCTCAGGGGCATTTGTTTCTCAGAGGAGAAAAGGATGGCAGCAGGGTGCTTGAAGATACAATGCAAATGCTGAAAGGGTTTTCCCCCTCTTAACTTCAGCATAATGGACAAATAAAAGGAATAATTTACATGTAGTTTGAGTCAAGGGTTTGTTGTTAGTCAAGTATACATTTAAGTATTTGTCTTGCTCAGAGTTCTAGAAGTATATTGCAAGCCAGCAAGTCTTTTTAATGAAGATAAGTCCATCAGAAAAACATGGCTGAGTACATGATAAAATACATGTAATATAGTTGTAAATAAATCACATGAAATGAATTTATATTGATATTAGTGTTGTTAACTATTTTTTGGTAATGTCCTACCAAATGAATGCCCTACATTTTGACATCTGGTCACCCTGCAATACAGGTGCAAGCCTTCCAGGGCCTTTAAAACCTTTAGTGTTGCCTGGTGGTGAGAGTGTTGGACTGGGTATAGAGTTTGCTTTTTGTTGTTGTGAGCCTTCAAGTTTTTTTGTGGGTTTTTTGGGCTGTGTGGTCATGTTCTAAAAGAGTTTCTTTCTGACATTTTGCCAGCATCTGTGGCTGGCATCTTCAGAGATGCCAGCCACAGATGCTGGCGAAACGTCAGAAAGAAACTCTTTTAGAACATGGCCACACAGCCCAAAAAACCCACAAAAAACTATGGATGCCGGCCATGAAAGCCTACGACTTCACAGCCTTCAAGTTGTTTCCTACTTATGGCAACCGTATCACAGGTTTTTCCAGGGCTGAGAGTGTGTGACTCATCCAAGGTCAACCAGTGGGTTTTTCCATGGCTGAGCAGGGAACTGAACCCTGATCTCTAGAGTCCAAAGTCTAATGCTCAAACTCACTACAACATGTTGGCTCTCAGGGTGTAGCAAGAGTCAAGTTCAAATTCACCATTAAGCTCTTTGAACCTTACAGAGGGAATAGAAAATGAAAGAAATGAAATGAAAATGAAAGTTTTGAAGAAGAGAGGAGTATGGGTGCAGAGGAGAATGGGCGACTGTTGGAAAAACAAACAAGATGTAGACCTGAAACCTGTGACTCCAACAATGTCAATGTTCCCGTGCCTTAATTTTCTACCATCTTTTCTTGCTGATGAAGCCATGAGCTTTGAAAGCTAGCATAATTTTTTTGCACCTTCAGGTTGGCCTGATGAAAGGTATCATGAGTGTCTGTTTTGGATGTTGTTTAATGGTCAACATGATAGAAGCTCATTGGGTAACCATAGGGTAGGCACTAGATCTCAGCCTGGCCTATCTCACATGGTGGTTGTGTAGACAAAAATATAGAAGATGACACTGCATGCTGCTTGAGTTTGTTTAAACCAAGGTGGGATTGAAATGTAACAAATAGTGATAACAAGAAATTCAACAAGTGAGGTTTTCCAGAGGGTTTGAGTATTGGACTTCAACTCAGGAGACATTAGGTTTTTGTGGGTTTTTTGGGCTGTGAGGCCAGCCACAGATGTAGGCAAAATGTCAGGAATACATTTTTCTAGAACACGGCCTCACGGCCCCAAAACCCCACAAAAACCTATGGATGCTGACCGTGAAAGCCTTTGACTTCAGGAGACATTGTTTGAATCACCGCTTGGCCCTGGAAACCCACTGGGTGACCTTGGGCAAGTCACAGTTTCACAGCCACAGAGGAAAGCAAAGGCAAATCTTCTCTGAACAAATCATGCCAAGAAGACCCCATTGATAGGATCCACCATAAGTCAGAAGTGACTGAAAGGCACAGAGCAACAACAATGCAGAGTAAAGCGCCACTTTATGAATTTCTACTGGTATTAAAGACACAGGAGTTGGGGGAAGGTTGAGGAATAACTCAACTACAACTCAATGTTGTAGATATGACATAGATAACTATGGTTGTTTGGTTGTCAAGGAAATGCTGTCTGCACACCTTCAGAAGACCTTGCACTTTAAAAGACTTTATTTGAAGTCTCAGCCTTTGAATGCAGCATAGGCTTGGAGGCTGAGCCCTGGCTCAAAATAAGCACCTACAAAACCTTGGCCTTCCCTGCATATTTCCACTTTGCCCCCACAAGGCAGAAGAAAATAACATCCTTCTTTTCCTCCCCTTCTATTGGGATTTTCCAAAGCATCCAGAGTCTGGCTTCATATTGGTGGAGCAGCACTGCCACCTTCTGTTCAGTTCAATAATTGCAAGTTGGAATGGAAAACCTAAGATTCCCATTAAGGGAGAAAGGAAGCGTTGGCCATATAGCAAATCTAATAAAAAAAAATCCACCAAACGGTGACACTTTTATTGGCCAATCAAAATGCACAATATACATGTTGCAAGCTTTCAAAGCTCCACTGGCTTCTTCATCAGGCAAGGTGTTAAAAACCATACAGGAGGAAAAAAAATGAAGATGTTAGTCATAGGCCTGCATTTTGCTGTTTCTTTTTCCCAGTTCAGATGGTATGGAGCAGTAGTACTTGCAGGCTTGCACTTCATCCTTCTGGCCATGTGGCTGCTGGGAGATTCTCAAAGTCCAGGAAATTTAACATCCCATTGCAACACAAAAGAGATACTTCCATTGCAATCCAATACGTCTCCATCTCTACCACCCTATTCATTGATAAAGCACATTGTCTTTTGTCCAACCAGTGATGCAGTTCTTCTTTTTCTTTTGCACAAAGTACTCAAAAACAAGCCTCATTTTGCTACGAGGGGCCTGCACCCAAGCAAGTATGCACAGAATAGATGGAGACTGAAGTTTTTGTTTGTTTGTTTGTTTTCTTAAGGAACCAGACTGCAGGCTGGAATGGAAAACCCAAGATTCCCATTAAGTGAAAAAGGAACTTGGGCTTTATTTTATAAAGAGCAGCATACATGGAAGAAAGAGAAAGTTATTCTCCTATGCTGTTAAACAATGGAATTCTAGGCCCAGCTTTCAAATGCTGGTACTTACTGGACACCTGATTTTCAAGGACTGTTCTAGAAGTCTTTTTTTTAAATGCAATAAATACAGAATTAGGAATACAGACAAGTACCTTACACTGAGTCAGACAATTGGTCCATCTAGCTCTGCAATGCAGCAGCTGTCCAGGGGCTCAGGCAGGCTTCTTTCTTGAACCTGAAGATTTAACCCAGGACTTTTTACATGAGAATCATTTGTTCTAACACTGAGCTACATATCTTCCTTCCTTCCTTCCTTCCTTCCTTCTAGTCCTTCCTGCATTTGTTGTGCAATGCCAGTAGCCCCATCTCTGATGAGCATGGCCCTGTGTTGGGAGAAACATAGGATATGAATGAAATAAATAAATTAAATAAATGAAGTATAAAGGGCACTCTTAAGGGTTGCAAAAACCTTGTAAGGCATATTGCTACTGTTTATAAAATAAAGCCCACTCATCCCTCCACATTTGTGGCTTTAACTTGCAGATTTGATTATTCACTGAGTTTAGTAATATGTATTCTCTAGGAATCTCTAGGTCCTCCAGTGCAACTTTATGGTCAGCTTTAACCAAAGGTCAGACTGAAGGACCTAGAGATTCCTAGAGAGAACACTTCACTAGGCATTTCTAGCTCCTCCAGCACAATTCTATGGTCAATGTCTGGCAGATGTTGACCACAGAGTTGCACTGGAGGACCTAGAGATTCCTAGAAGTGTTCTCTCAGATAAAAATGTAAGTGGTTTTGTTATTTGTGGGTTTTCCACATTCACGGGATTCCTAATCCTAGCAAATGTGGAGGGAGGAGTGTAGTAGTAGGAATATATCCTAAGCATCTGAGTGAGGAATGAGTGTAGGCAGGGACTGGTTGGCCAGGAACAATGAGAGGATGGAACACAATGATCCAAAAGACACTGCAGAAATAATCCAGTTTGAGATGGCTTTAACTACCCAGGCTCACTGCTAAGGAATTCTGGGAACTGTAGTTTAGTGAGACATTTAGCCTTCTCTGTCAGAGAGCTCCATTGCCACAATAAACTACAATTTCCAGGCTTACCTAGCACTGAGCAAGGGCATTAAAGCAGTCTCAAACTGGATTCTTTCTGCAGTGTGTTTTGGACCAATATTCTAGAAGAGATAAATTTGACTGTTTGGAACCCTGAACAGCAGCATGTCACACTTCTGCATTTTGTTGTGAGGCCCACTCATGACACTGTTGTAGCCGGCAATGAAAGATGTCAGTGGAAAGACTGTAGCTTAGCACATGCATCACATACAGATGATCCCAGGTTCAGTCTCAGGCATCTCCTGATACCTGAGCAGACAGTGATAGGGAACCAAAATGGATCAGTTCTTTGACTCAATAAAAGGAACCCTCTGGTGTTCCTATGTAATATCAGCAGTGAGTGTTGTGCTTAAGTGAGGATTTGTTGTAGTTGTTTTGTGCTTTCAAGTCTTTTCTGACCTAGGAGTTTATCACACGGGGGAAATCCCGTGCAGAAACAGGGTTTTAAATTGAAAAAACCCCGTAAAAGCGGGCAGATTTTCAAACGACGTCGCTGTTAAAATGGGATTAACCCGAACGGAAATCCTAAAAGTAAAAAGAAGCAGTTTCTGACTACTTTCCGTTCGGGTTAACCCCATTTTAACAGAAATGTGTGTGAAAATCTGCCTGCTTTTGCAGGTTTCCCCCACCTTTTAAATCCCGTTTCTGCACAGGATTTCCCCCGTGTGATAAACTCCCTATGGTGATCCTATGGCAAAGTCATCATGGGTTTTTTGGGGGGCAAGATTTGTTCAGAGGAGGATTGGCGTTGCCTTCCCCTGAGACTGAGTATGTGACTAGCCCAAGGTCATCCAGTGGATTTCATGGCCAAGCGGGGAATCAAACCCTGGTCTCCAGAGTCACAGTCCAACACTCACACCACTGTACCACTCTGACTCTTGAGTTAAGATTATCAGGGCTCTTATACCTTTAATACTTGCACGGCAAGCAGCAGCAACTGAAATCCTCTTTTCTATGCAACTATTATAGGAATGTGTTTGTTTTTGTTTTTAGCATATTAATATATTATTTTAGTATTTTAACATCTTATATTGTGGTGTTTTTATCATTCGCTTTTTATTGTATATTTTCCGATGTACTGCCCTTTGGGGGAAAGAGCATTATAAACAAAGATTTGTTGTTGTTGTTAGTTCTACCCTATCCACCCATCCTCTCTCATTAGATTTTGCAAGGTGGGGTGGAAGCTTAAAAAGAGGGTGTAATAGAGTAAGATAATCTACATAAGGTAAGATTTGAGGGCATTTTAATTTTTTTTTTTTTTTGCAAAACTGAAGTATGAAAGTGGCAGAATTTATATCTTTTTTAGGCAGCCTAATTTTAGAGTAGTTGTGAAGTTTCCTTGGGATGTAAAGGGTTGTACAGGGTTTCATGTTTCTACAGTCAGTCCTCCATATCCACAAATTATGTACCCATGGATTCCACTCTCCATGGCTTGAAAATACCCCCCCTTCCAAAAAGCAAACCATATGCCATTGTATATAATGGGGCTTGAACATCCACAGATTTTGTTAACCACAGGGGGTCCTGGAACCAAACCCAGCAGATACCAAGGACCCACTGTATTTCTTTCTTTGTCCCAGTGGTCCTCATTGCAACCTGAATCCTGCTTAGCATCTAATACAGCTCCTCCAGTTTGTCTGCAGTCTCCTCCTCTGTTTTAACATAGTGATGAAATGCATTCTGTGTGGATACAGCCTCAGGCCAGCTTCTCCACTAGCCCCACTTTGCTTAACATTCAATTTGATAAAGAGTTATGTTAAACTCCAAAGCTTGTTTCCCCCTTTGAGAAAGAAGGAGGGAAAGAAAAAATTGTGAGATGGGGCTCAAAAAGGTATGCAGAAATTAAAGTAAATATATATAACAATCTCATTCAGCTCTTTTTGAAGATATTCTCCCTCAGGGACAATTGGATGTAGTAAACACTATTTCTTGATGCCAGGTTCTGTGATTGAATGGAGCCTTGCTTTTGATACCCATTTCCTGCTGTGAACTACTGGAAAATTGCCAGGTGTCTC